TAATTATTTCCACATTTAGGGAGATGCCGGCATTTCATACTCGTAGAGGATTCAACGCACAGGTCAAGGCAGCAGAAAGACTCAAACTTCACAAAGGGCTTAAGTACAGGAGTAGCCAGGGCTATTTTGGGGCAGGAACGCACAGGAACGGAGTTCCGGCTGGCTCCCAAGTTGGCCACACCCAGCAGGAACTCATTAGCATAACAGGCCACACCCAACAGCAAAAACTCATTAGGATTGGCTACATTAGGGGTGTGTGGCCTAACATGCAAAGGAGTTCCTTTTTGACCACAAACAAAGTAAACAGAATAAGAAGCAAAAGGTGGGTGTGGCTGGATGACCACACTTCTGGCAACACGGGGCTGCGGCCTAATAGGCTAATGAGCTGTGGTGTCGGGGTGTGGCCTGATATGCTAATGAGTTCCTGCTCCTGGGTGTGGCCTATTATGCTAATGAGTTCCTGCTGGACTTTTTCTACAAAGAAAGCCCTGGGAGTAGCCTGACACTGTTGGTAGGAAATGCACAGACAGGTTTGCTTTGGAAACTGAGCGGCTCTGAGGCAGCCAGGCAGGCAGATGACACACCAGGGTTAAGGTCACCTCGACCCTAAAGGAGATGGGCCATCTTCCTAACCACGGTGCTATGGATAGGCAAAACCAGATCATCTCATGACCAATGTTCCCTCTAAGCTATGGAGTCTTGTGAGCAAGAATTCTACTTTGTGAGCGACTGGCAATAAAGTAGTGAGCCAGTGATTGGACTACTGCATAAGTTAGTCTGCTCTGGAGCCATCCTTCCTGCGCTAAGGCAAAAATGTGTGAGCCGGAGGCTAAAAAACTGTGAGCTAGCTCACACTGACTCAGCTTAGAGGGAACACTGCTCATAACCTAGGTTTGTAAACTCACTTCAGATCTTGGTTACAAGCTCTGGACTGAAGAAGAGAAAAAGAGATTGGATTTATACCACGCCCTTCCCTCGGAGTCTCAGAGCAGCCTACAATCGCCTTTCCCTTCCCCTCCCCACAACAGACACCCTGTGAGGTGGGTGGGGCTGAGAGAGCTCTTTCCAGAACTGCCCTTGAGAGAACAGCTCTGAGAGAACTTGTGACTGACCCAAGGTCACACCAACAGCTGCATGTGGAGGAGTGAGGAATCAGACCTGGTTCTCCCAGATTAGAGTCCACACTCCTAACCACTAAACCAAACGGGCTCTCTCTGAAGACAGAACACAGTTAAAGCTTAATGACAGGGGTGGGAGGGACTGGTCCCGAGTGGGAGTCATGGAAAGGGAGGGAGGGAGTGCAGCACTACAGTATGGTACCAGCCATGGTTAGGAAATGTGACAGCCAGCGTGGTGTGGTGGTTAAGAGCGGCAGACTCTAACCTGGAGAACGGGGTTTGATTCCCTGCTCCTCTCCACAGGGACCCTGCTGGGTGACCTTGGGCCAGGCCCAGTTCTCTCAGAACTCTCTCAGCCCCACCAACCTCACAAGGTGCCTATTGTGGGGGGAGGAAGTGAATGCGATCGTAAGCTGCTTTGGCACTACTTAAGGTAGAGAAGTCGATAAATAGGCACCGTTTTGGTGGGAAGGGAACAGCATTCCGTGCGCCTCAGAGTTTAGTCATGCTGGTTACATGACCACGGAAACGTCTTCGGACAGCGCTGGCTCTTCAGCTTGGAAACGGAGATGAGCACCGCACCCTAGAGTCGGATTCGACTGGCTTTAGAGCGAGGGAAACCTTTACCTTACCTTAAGGTAGAGAAAAGCAGAGTATAAAAACCTTCTCTTCTTCTCCCTCTCTTCATGTGGAACGTTACATCGATCCATATTGGCCTGGCCTAGCAAGCCTGAAATGTGACTCTAGCTGTTGTTTTTCACAAGCTTCATCAGGTATTAACTGGAGCCCGATACATCTTGAGAGGTGGCTTAAATTAAAGAGGCACGTTATTAAGCAGCGAGCTCCATAAACTAGGTACCTGGTTGACATCCTGCCGCTTCCACGTCTCCAGTTTCCACTCTATAAACAGGATAAGAGAAAAGAGAAGAAAATCTGAAACGTAAGTAACGGACATAAGCAGACCTGGGGAAAATAACTCATGTGATACTTAATGACTTGCCAGTACTTCCTGAAGCACATAATGATCCCCTTTCTACTAACAGATTCATGTTCCAGTTTTAGTATACAAATCTAGGGAGAACTCCGAAGGCGTTCCAAACAGCTTTAAGAAAGTGGGGAACAATAAAAGCAAAACTATACACTGAAAGCTCAAGCTTCCGAGTAAAGCTGCAGAACACAACTTCAGATACATAAAGCCTCAACCCAACGATTAACATTTTAAAAGACCTTGTCCTGGGACCTCGAACCCTAACCAGTGTTCCCTCTAAGCTGATTTAGTGTGAGCTAGCTCAGAGTTTTTTAGCCTCCGGCCCACACAATTTTGTCTTAGCTCAGGAAGGAGGGCTCTGGAGCAGTGTTCCCTCTAAGTTGAGTTCGTGTGAGCTAGCTCAGAGTTTTTTAGCCTACGGCCAACATATTTTTGTCTTAGCTCAGGAAGGAGGGCTCCGGAGCAGTGTTCCCTCTAAGCTGATTTAGTGTGAGCTAGCTCAGAGTTCCCTTGCTCGAAAGCCAGTTGATTCCGACTCTAGGGTTGCAGTGCTCATCTCCGTTTCAAAGCCGAAGAGCCAGCGATGTCCGAAGACATTTCCGTGGTCATGTGGCCGGCATGACTAAACACCAAGGCGCATGGAACGCTGTTCCCTTCCCACCGAAGTGGTACCTATTTATCTACTTGCAATGTCTTGCTTTCGAACTGCTAGGTTGGCAGGAGCTGGAACTAGAGACGGGAGCTCACTCCGTCATGCGGCACTCTCGGGTCTCGAACTGCTGAACTACCGACCTTCCACAGCCTGCAGTTCAGCGTCTTAACCACTTGAGCCACCGCAGCTCCTACTTGAACATTAAACACACGCAAAAACGTCATCCATAAGACACGCGCACAGAATCCCACTTACCTTTTAAAAAACTGTCTTCGAATTGCTGGGAAGAGACTTGCTGCGGAGATTGGATTCCTGCGCCCCAGGCGACTAAGGGTGTCAAAGTCTCTGAGGGGTGACCAGCCCCATGAGATCCTAGCCCCACGGGTGGGGGGGGGAAATAATTGAAAATTACTTCAATATAAGTAGCTGGCCTTCCATCACCACCCTCCTGGTCCAGACTTCCTGGAAGCACGGGTACAAAATAGCAACTTGACACATCTATATTCGCTTCTAGCTCCCTGCCGAAGAATCCCAAAGCAAAGCTGGAAGGGAAATGTGAAGCACTTTGCTTCCTTACAAAATCTCGGTGGACATTTCCCAGCCATGTCACCTCTCCCCAAATATCTTTGTTGTTCAGTCGCACAGTCGAGTCCGACTTCGCGGCCCCATGGACCAGATCACGCCAGGCCCTCCTGTCTTCCGCCGTCCTCTGACGTTGGCTCAATTTCATGTTCGTTGCATCTATGACACTGTCCAACCATCTCATCCTTTGCCGTCCCCGTCTTCTTTGACCTTCAATCTTTCCCAGCATCAGGGTCTTCTCCAGTGAGTGCTCCCTTCTCATTTGGTGGCCAAAGTATTTGAGCTTCAGTTTCATTATCTGGCCTTCCAGGGAACAGTCAGGGTTGATTTCTTTGAGGATTGACTGATTTGTTCTTCTTGCAGTCCAAGGGACTCTCAAGAGTCTCCTCCAGCACCATAGTTCAAAAGAATCTATTCTTCGGCGCTCGGCCTTCCTTATAGTCCAGCTCTCGCAGCCATACATGACTACTGGGAATGTATATCTACCCTGGTGCAATAATAACCTTGCCCACCACCCTTCTTCCCCTTCACATTTACTAGCCTCAGCCACCTGAAAGCCTCTTGATATCTCAAGAGACCTTGATTATCTTGCTGCCTCCAAACTGTCTCCACCTCACCGCCAGGACACAGAACAGGTGGGGGTGGAAAGCACCGGCAAGCCGCGGCTGACTTATGGCGACCCCTCTAGGGTTTCCAAGGCAAGAGATGTTCAGGGGTGGTCGGCCACGGCCTGCCTCTGCGTAGCGACTCTGAAATCCCTCGGTGGTCTCCCATCCAAATACTAACCAGGACGCACACTGCTTCAGGACCAACCCTGCTTAGCGTCTGAGATCTGGGCGTAGCCATTGATAGACTCAGGGGTCATTTCGTAGAAAAAGAGGTGCAGAAGCTCATTAGCACAACTCATTAGCACATGCCACACCCCCTGACATCACCGGAAGTGTGTCAGAAGGCAACACCCACCGCTCAGGCTCCACTGGACTGTTTTGGGTTGCTAGCTATTAGGGGGGGGAGTGCAGATCTGTCCTCGCAGAGGAGGGAGAGCTTGTACCTGAATAAAACTTGGTCTTAAAGGGGCCACTGGACTGTTTTGGACTGGGGGGCCATGGGGAGCTCTGCAACTTACCTGGCTGCTTCTTGCTCTGACTGAGGGCTGCTGGGAGCAGGGGGCGGGGCTTGTTGCATGTGCCCGCCCCCTGGGCTCCTTATTGCCGGAGCTCCGCTCCTGTGCGCTCCTGCAGGAAATGACCCCTGGATAGACTGATCCTCCATGGAACTATCTAATGCCCTTTTAAAGCTGTTTATTCCCGTAGCCATCACTACATCCTCTGGCAGCAAATGCCACATTTCAATCACTCTCTGTATAAAGTAGTATTTCCTGTTGTTCATCCTGAACCTACTGCCCGTCGGCCTCACTGGATGCCCACGAGTTCGAATATTTCAGGAGAGTGAGAAAAAGTTCTCTTTGTTAACTCTCTCCACCCCCTGTACAATTTTATAAACCTCTATCTATTCAGATCTCTTCCATGGTATCTGTCCATGGGATTCTATCCTCATTCATCCTTTAGAGAAGAGCCACCACTCAATCAAGCAGGCAGCTTGTTATTAAACTGAGCAATCAATTTTCATCAGCACACGAGATTGCTAACCAGGATGAAGAGGAGGATCGTGTTTAGCGACTGCCGATCCAGCACAAGAGGAAAGTCTGTGTCTGCCAACTTTGAGCTACAGGCCTCCCCCACTCCCATTCAGGGAGTTGGGAACAGTCGGCTCGTTACAGGGGACGAGGAGGATTAAAAAACACATTTGCCCGGGCTTACCGTGGGCCTGTCGGAACAATGAAGGCTGGATGGAATCTCTCACTTCTTGGCTTAAATGTGGAGATAACTGGAAGAGCTGCAGACAGAGAGAGGCACTTCCATGGGCTCCTGTTTTGTGACCGGCGGTCCGCGTAGGACTGCCTGTGTGCTTGATCCCGTGTTCCTTACACCCAGGGCTCTTTTTGTAGAAAAAGCCCAGCAGGAACTCATTAGCATAATAGGCCACACCCAACAGCAGAAACTTGTTAGCACATTAGGCCGCACCCCCATGTTACCAGAAGTGTGGTCATCCAGCCACACCCACCTTCCCCTTCTTATTCTGTTTACCTTGTTTGTTGTCAAAACCCAGGGCCTTTTTGTAGCACGAACTCCTTTGCATGTTAGGCCACACACCCGTTATGTAGCCAATCCTAATGAGTTTCTGCTGTTGGGTGTGGCCTGTTATGCTAATGAGTTCCTGCTGGGCGTGGCCAACTCGGGAGCCAGCCGGAACTCCGTTCCTGTGCGTTCCTGTCCAAAAATAGCCCTGCTTACACCTGCTCCGTCTATACAAATGGATGATCATAAACACACTGCAGGTGGCTTTTGTCTCAAATGGAACAAGACCTGGATGAGGCAGCTACCTTTCCCACCTCTCAGGGACAGCAGAGCAGGAACTATAATAATTACGTGCCATATTAACATGACAATTAATTGCCATCAAGTCACAACCAAACTTATAGCCACCCCATGAAGTTCCAGCTCGTCGGGCTTTCATGGCAATAAATTATTTTATTTATTTTATTAGATTTGTAATTTGTAACGTAGCAGGCTCAGGGTGGGTTCCATCATTAAAAAAATATACAGACAGAGCTATTTTGGGGCAGGAACGCACAGGAACGGAGTTCTGGCTGGCTCCCGAGTTGGCCACACCCAGCAGGAACTCATTAGCATAATAGGCCACACCCAACAGCAGGAACTCATTAGGATTGGATACAGTAGGGGTGTGTGGCCTAACATGCAAAGGAGTTCCTGCTACAAAAAAAGGCCCTGGGTTTTGACAACAAACAAGGTAAACAGAATAAGAAGCAAAAGGTGGGTGTGGCTGGATGACCACACTTCTGGCAATAGGGGGCTGCAGCCTAATATGCTAATGAGCTATGGTGTCAGGATGTGGCCTATTATGCTAATGAGTTCCTGCTGGGCTTTTTCTACAAAAAAAGCCCTGCAGTTAAAAACAATTAAAATACATCAATTAAATTGTTGTTGTTGTTCAGTCGCACAGTCGAGTCTGACTCTTCGCGACCCCATGGACCAGATCACGCCAGGCCTTCCTGTCTTCCGCCGTCCTCTGACGTTTGCTCAATTTCATGTTCGTTGCATCTATGACACTGTCTAACCATCTCATCCTTTGCCGTCCCCGTCTTCTTCAATTAAATTACTATTACGGATTCCCGTATTTCTAGCCAGTGACTCAACAGATGAGGTCTAGTATAATTTGGGTTCCAGATGATGACACAGATCTGATCCACTGGAGGGAAGACCTGATAAGAGTGTGGCCGCCCGCTCCCTCAACTAAAAGCCTGGCGGAAGAGCTCCGTCTTGCAGGCCCTGTGGAACTGTAAAAGGCCCCACAGGGCCCTGATCTCATATGGTACCTCATTCCACCAGGTAGGGGCCAGGGCCAAGATAAAGTTGATAAAGTTCTCTGGGGCTCCTAGGGGCTCGAAGACATGCAGGCCCCTGGCCATATAGGGCTTTGAACAGAAGTGATTTGCCACTGCCTTCCTCTGCACAGCAACCATCATCTTTCTCAGTGGTCTCCCATCCACGTACGGACCCTGCTTAGCTTCGAAGCTCTAAGCAGCTCATGCTAGTCAGGACTATTGAGGCTGCTACAACTATTAGGGCTGTCACTGCAGGGTTCTGCAAAATCTCACCCCAATCCGTCATCCCGTGGTCCGAGGTCAGGACAAATACGGTGTCGCCGTCGTTGCCATAAAAATCCTCAACCAGCGACACAATTTCTTTTACGCCTTCGTCAACCTTCCTGATGTTACCCTTGTACTCGCTGCGGAGAAAAGAAAGGGAAGTATCATGTCCTGGTGGAATTGTAACAGAAGCAGAGGTTATTTCGGGGGGGATCGTGGGGGAATGCAGTTAATAGAAATAAATAAGAGAGTTAGGCTTTCCTTTCTGGTTTGCCTTTCAACTGTCTCCCTTCACAAATCACACTAGAAATCTGGATTTATGGCACTATCCAATTTATTTTCAAAGAGGATTTCTTAAGCGAATGACAAGAGACAGATATCGTTTTGAGAATGTGACTGATAGGTTTCTGCCAGCATACCCCTCCCTTCATGAACTCACACAATCATAAAGAAATAAACTCCTGAGAAACATCAAGATGGGTAGCCATGTTAGTCTGTCCGTAGCAGTAGAAAAGAGCAAGAGTCCAGGAGCACCTTAAAGGTAAAGGTTCCCTTGCTCGAAAGCCAGTCGAGTCCGACTCAAGGGTTGCGGTGCTCATCTCCGTTTCCAAGCCGAAGAGCCAGCGCTGTCCGAAGACGTTTCCGTGGCCATGTGGCCGGCATGACTAAACACCAAGGTGCACGGAACGCTGTTCCCTTCCCACCGAAGTGGTACCTATTTATCTACTTGCAATTTCTTGCTTTCGAACTGCTAGGTTGGCAGGAGCTGGAACTAGAGACGGGAGCTCACTCCGTCATGCGGCACACTCGGGTCTCGAACTGCTGAACTACTGACCTTCCACAGCCTGCAGTTCAGCGTCTAAAGACTAACAAAATTTGTGGCAGGGGAGGAGCTTTCATGCGTCACGGCTCCCTTCTCCACATTTGTATCTGAAGAAGTGACCAGTGACTCACGAAAGCTCACACCCTGCCACAAATTTTGTTAAGTCTTTAAGGTGCTACTGGACTCTTGCTCTTTTCTGAGAAATATAAATGGTAACAGCCCAAGACAACTAATAAACCAGAATACAGGCTGACGCTCAGCGCTTGGGATGAAATGAAATGCAATTTCTTCTAATGTATTAACAATGTTATTTTATAATAGCTAATAACACGTCCATATGGTTCATATTTTTTTCTTCCACAGGTACAGAAAACAGAAGTGGGTTGACGAACCTCCCCGGAGTTGGCTTCCGTTTCATTCACAACTTCATCCGAACACACTGAAGCACCGCGGTAGTTTCTCTTGAAAACCTACTGTTCATAGTGTCTTCCAATGATATTCCAGGCCATCATTTCAAATACTAAAGTGCATCCTAATCCATTTTACTGGAGAATTTTGTCCCGGGCAAATTGATTTGTTTGTATGCCCGGGACAAGATTCTCCAGTAAAATGGATTAGGATGCACTTTGGTATTTGAAATTATGGCATGGAATATCATTGGAAGACACTATGAACAGTAGGTTTTCCAGAGAAACTACCAGTGTGTTCGGATGAAGTTGTGAACGAAACGGAAGCCGACTCCGGGGAGTTTCGTCAACCCACTTCTGTTTTCTGTACCTATGGAGGAAAAAAATATGTAACAATGTGAATGTGTTATTAGCTATTATAAAATAACACTGTTAATACATTAGAAGAAATTGCATTTCATTTCATCCCAAGCGCTGAGCGTCAGCCTTTTCTGAGAAACAGGCAGGAACTCATCAACTTCAGACTACAATCCTGTAGCTCCTTGAAAGAGGCTGTGGCACATTTTAAGTGTGTGATAACTAATGACCATAGGCCTTCTTCCAACTGGATCTCCCAGGTCTCCAAGTTCTTTTCCGCAAGTGAGACCTTTTTAACATTCTGGATAGCACCTTCTCAGCTGCACCATTGGAGTTATGGAAGACCATCGCCAAGAAAGACCTACCAGGCCATTCCATGGCCCACTTCCAAGGAGCTTATTAAAAGTCTGTTGCTTTGGCAGGTCTCCTGAACCAGGGCCAGGGCCTTTTCAGCCCTGGCCCCTCCCTGGTGGAACTCTCTGCCTGAGGACATCCGTGCCCTACGAGATCTGTTACCATTCCGTAGGGCTTGCAAGGCAGAGATGTTCTGCCGGGCATTTGGTTGAGGATAGCAACGGCCTGGCGCTCTCACATCCCACCCCCACCCCCAATGCTCTGCATTTTACTTAACCCAGGGGGCAAGCGGGTATTGGAAATTTATCTCCATCTTGGATCATACTGTTCCATTGTGGCTGTTGAATTTTAATTCTGTTTTAAGTCCAGTAAGCCCTGCTCGTGGGGAAGGGCCGCCTAACAAGTGTAAACAAACAAACTAACAAAGTGGGTGAAGGTTTTGTTTGTTCTGATGCCCTGGTACTGGGAATTGTCATTTTGAATTGGTCCCCAAAAATTCTGCACATTGCATTAAGAGTTTTATTAAACACGGGATATATCTTAACAAATCAACTCCGCCCCCTCCCCACTGGAGTTCTTAGGTCTACTAAATCGGCATTTATGGCTGCAACCCAACAAGGTTCTTTACAAAGTAGGAATGGGCTAGCCCTCACTTAGCAGGGCTCCCTTGCTAACCCCGGGAACCATTCCTTCCTCCATCCCTGCTACATTGGATCACAAGCAGTGTTCCCTCTAAGCTAAGTTAATGTGAGTTAGCTCACAGTTTTTTAGCCTCCGGCTCACACATTTTTGTCTTCGCTCAGGAAGGATGGCTCCAGAGCAAATTAATTTATGCAGTACGCAGGGCTCTTTTTGTAGCAGGAGCTCCTTTGCATATTAGGCCACACATCCTTGACGTAGCCAATCCTCCAAGAGCTTACAGTAGCCCCTGTAAGAAGAGCTCTGTAAGCTCTTGTAGGATTGGCTACATTAGGGGTGTGTGGCTTAATATGCAAAGGAGTTCCTGCTACAAAAAGAGCCCTTGCTCACAACTTTAATATCAGTAGCTCACAAAGTAGAATTTTTGCTCACGAGACTCCACGGGAGCATTAGAGGGAGCATTTCACAAGATACTTTTGAAACCCGCTGTTTCTCCCCCAGCATACATTACTGGATCCCAGCTTTTCATTTGGGTACCATTAAAGGTTTGAAGCGAACACTGGAAATTACATTCCGAGGGGCTGTGATGTCATTAAACCCAAGATGAGAAAGTTAACTAACGTTACAAAAAGAGTCAGGATTCCGAGTCCCGTTACTGCATAGATGTATGATACACACACATTTGTCAAAGGGGGTTAATATGGCTGAACCAAAAATATTAAATGAAACCTGAGAACAAAAGGGGTTTGATCCAATCACAATAACGCATTGTGAAGTTCACTGATCTGAATGGGAGAATTAAGTATACCCTTAAATCTCTCCAATGGGTAACAGCGGAACTCGAAACTGTTTAGCTGTGGCTGGATTGCGCCCAAATTGGATTACATCCCAAACGATAAAAATTAACACAGCGTACCTTGAATGAGGTCTATGAGCATGCCCGTTTGTGTCAATCCCTAATAAATGCAGGAAGAAAACAATTTTCTGCTCGTGCAGCTTAGAAAATAGCGTTTCATTGTTTCTAGCAGAGCTGAAAAAATCCTATGTGGAGAAAAGTGTTTAGAAAAGTTAATCTGAATGCTATTTGCTACACAAATGCCAAATTATGCTTTTGTTTAGAATCATGTCGCCAGGCATGCACACAGAAGAGACGATTACTTTAAATGGTTAGTAAATGATTGCTTCTATTCATTTTAAGAAGAGAAACTAGCAGTGTTACTAACAGGATGTCACTGAGGTCTAGGCACTACCTTGTCAAGGCCTGGAACAGGGACCCATCTCAGTGTCTACACAGGGGGGCAAACTGTCCCCCCCCCATCTTAACCATCTCTTGACTAGGTTCCCTTGCTCGAAAGCCAGTCGAATCCGACTCTAGGGTTGCGGTGCTCATCTCCGTTTCAAAGCCAAAGAGCCAGCGCTGTCCGAAGACGTTTCCGTGGTCATGTGGCCGGCATGACTAAACACCAAGGTGCACAGAACGCTGTTACCTTCCCACCGAAGTGGTCCCTATTGATCTACTTGCAATTTCTTGCTTCCGAACTGCTAGGTTGGCAGGAGCTGGAACTAGAGACGGGAGCTCACTCCATCATGCGGCACACTCGGGTCTCGAACCGCTGAACTACTGACCTTCCAAGCCTGCAGTTCAGCATCTTAACCACTTGAGCCACCGCAGCTCCTATCTCCTGACTAGAGGGCAGCAAATTTCTCCTATTAACTTCTCTGGCAAAAGGAGCAAGCACCTGGGAACGCTGAGGAAATCCTGAGGAGGTAGGAGAGAGGAAATACATTTCCATACACATGGCACCTAGAGCACCATTGCCATAAATGCCAGATATGTACACCTCCCGCACCATACGGAGGGAGACTGCACGTAGAGCCCAACATAACTAGGAGAATCTATATACAATTTCCCAAGTGTGGTCCCCATCTGCAGATACCTAAATCCACAGACTGGGGCCACACTTGCACTAAACAGATTTTTCTGCAATCTTGGGTGACCCCCCCCCCAACAATTTTGCAGAAAAATGTAAAATCTTTAAAAATAAATACATAGGGGTGTGTGTTAAATTTCACCCGAAGTAAAACAGCATCCTCTGTGCAAGAGAGGGGCTGGCGGAGGCTGCAGAAAAGCCCAGGAGCTGCATTGGGCCAGCAAAGGGGGGGGGAGATAGGATTCCCCCCATGAGTCTCGCAGACCCCCATCTGTATGAATATAATTGCCAAGTGGCCCCGAAAAGTACATTTTGTTCAAAATCTGGTATATATTTGCCATGTTCAAAGTATATAATACTGGGGGGAGGGGGGAATAGAGATGTTCATTCACCTTAACGTGGTCAAAAACCCAAGTGTCTAGCACAGTGGCATCTTCTGCTCCAAAATCTTCACTTCCAGCTTTATAACAATGGGTATAAACGTGATCCCCGCTGGCACCTGCAAGTAAGTACTACAGATGAAGGACCATAAACTTGTTTTTTTTAAAGAAAAGCTTCCATACCACCTTTATAACCGCGGTTTTATGGATTTACAAGGTTTTAGACTGTATTTTATCTTATACAATTTTCTATGTTTTATTGCATTCTTCTCTGTTGGTGGTTTGTAACGGCCTATGGCTAAATACAATAAAAACCTTCTCCCTCTCTCCCCCATACCACCTAGGTATAACTTTTTTTAAAAAAAGTTGTTACCAAAAAAAAAGTAGCCAGAAGAAAAAACAGGAGAGAGCAGGATCTCTCCTTTTATGCGATCATTAATACTAACCCATGTGCATTGTAGCAGGTACTCATTTGCATATTAAGCGACACACCCCTAATGTAGCCAATCCTCCAAGAGCTTACAGTAGCCCCTGTAAGAAGAGCTCTGTAAGCTCTTGGAGGCTTGGCTACATTAGGGGGTGTGGCCTAATATGCAAAGGAGTTCCTGCTACAAAAAGAGCCCTATATATCAGGGTTGACAACCTGAACTATCTGGGTTATGGAATGCATTCTCCATAATATCATTTCGGTTTTATTTTATATTTACCCGGCCCTTCGTCATGATAGCAGGCGTGGTTCTTCCTCTCCCCTCCATCCTTTGCAAACACAACAGTCCTATAAAAAAATGCACCTAATGCGGACAGAGGTTTGACCCAAGGTCTCCACAGTCACACTATCCATCCTGGCGCTGCAAGAACTACTTCAAGAACCGAAGGAGCAATCCTAAACAGGTCTACTTGGAAGTAAATCTCATGAGACTTACTCTCAGAAAAATGCTCCTCGGTCTGCACCGCGAGCATACTGTTTCCAGGCACAGCGACTTCATTACATCTTCAACAGGGGAAAGTCATCAACAAAAAACAAAGTGGCTCGAAAAAACCCACCACCTTTAAATACTCACTCGCAGGGCTATTTTTGGGCAGGAACACACAGGAACGGCGTTCCGGCTGGCTCCCGAGTTGGCCACGCCCAGCAGGAACTCATTAGCATAATAGGCCACACCAGGGGACTTCCGGTATGGCATTTCGACAGAAGGGGGGAGCGAGACGCGCTCCGTCCCCAACCGGTCTGTTTTCGCTTTATTTGAGCCCCCCGAGATTCGGGGGAGCTCGACCAGCCTCCCGATGGTGGGGGCTGGAGCAGGGGGCGTCCTTTCGGCCCTTTCCCGCAACTGGCAGGGCGGGGGAGGTGTCCGGAAAAGCTCCGAAGCTGAAGCGAGTAACAGAGAGCATGGCGGCCATGTTCTCGAGAAACGACCATCCGTTCGTTTTTAATTTGTAAAAGTGGATTATAACCAGCAGCAACGAAGAAAAAATTCAGCAACAAGCGTCTTTGTGTGGAGAGGATCCCCTGACTGGACTGCATACATCTTCAAGATGAAAGAAACCCCGAACTGTTTAGCATGAAAGGAAATTAATGTACAAAATGAAATTTTCTTTTTTGTAATGGAAAATCTATAAATAAACTTTGAAGAGAAAAAAAAAGAATGGGACTGATACCACAAAACTCTCCTTTCCCATATCGACATCCCGGATGCCCACCCAATACAACAACAAAGAGGCACTGTACCCATACTGAGTAAGCCCACGACTAGATTTTATTTGTTTTTTACCTACTTACATTATTTATAGTCTGCCTTCTCCACATGGACTTGGATTATACAGTCAATACAAAAAACAAAATGGGGCATTCAATAAACAAGGAACTAGGATGTTAGAAATCTGGAACCACCACAAAGAATTGAAGCATAGAATAATAAGAAGAAAAGAGGTGGGATTTATACCCCGCCCTTCACTACCCAAAGGAGTCTCAGAGCAGCTTACAATCTCCTTTCCCTTCCCCTCCCCACAACAGACTCCCTGTGAGGTAGGCACGGCTGAGAGAGCTCTTTCAAGAACTGCCTGTGAGAGAACAGCTCTGAAAGAACTTGTGACTGACCCAAGGTCACACCAGCAGCTGCACGTGGAGGAGTGGGGAATCAAACCTGGTTCTTGCAGATTGGAGTCCGCGCTCCTAACCACTACACCAAACTGGCTCTCACATGACACATTAAGCGGTACAGAAATGACATAATAGGATCCTACTTAAAATACACTATATGAGAACATAAGAGGAGCCATGTTGGATCAGGCCAATGGCCCATCCAGTCTAACACTGTGTGTCACACAGTGGCCAAAACCCAGGTGCCACCAGGAGGTCCACCAGCGGGGCCAGAACTCCAGAAGCCCTCCCACTGTTGCCCTTCAAGCACCAACACTACCCCATCACTACCCCAGGCATAGTGTTCCAGCCATACTTTGTGGCTTATAGCCACCAATGGACCTCTGCTCCATATGTTTATCCAGTAGTAAAGACCACAAGTCCCAATCATATATCCAAGCAAATTTGTGAGAGCCAGTCTGGTGTAGTGGTTAGGAGTGCGGACTCTAATCTGGGAGAACCAGGTTTCATTCCCCACTCCTTCACATGCAGCTGCTGGTGTGACCTTGGGTCGATCGCAAGTTCTCTCAAGAGCAGTCCTCGAAAGACCTCTCTCAGCGCCTCCTACCTCACAGGGTGTCCGTTGTGGGGAGGGGAAGGGAAAGGAGATTGTAAGCCGCTCTGAGACTCCTTCGGGTAGTGAAGGGCAGAGTAGAAACCCAATCTCTTCTTTTTCTTCTGAAACCGTTTTGTACTGCGCAGGCTTATTACCTGCACAGAAAAGGCCTCTTGAACAGTTCAGTTTTGCATAGCTTGTGGAAGGTCAGGAGGGCGGGGAGCTATTCTGACCTCCTCGGGCAAACCATTCCACCAGGCAGGAGGCTCTACAGAAAACAATCTCTGCAAACAATTACAACATTCTTTAAAAAAACATAGCACAACTAGCGGTGGCACAGGCAGTTAAATGCCTGTAGAAATAGTCATCTCGAACAGCTGTAACAGCAGTTCAAATACCACCGTGGTCGGGGTGAGCTCCCGACCCTTGCCCCAGCTCCTGCCAACCCAGCAGTCCGAAAGCCCCTCGGGGCAATTAGGTAAATGGGTACCTGTCCGTAGGAGGACAGGGGGGTACCCCTCCCTCGAAATTGGGCTCCAGCCGAGCGAGGAATCGAGAAGCGGCGGCGACATGG